TCTCTTGCAGGAAAGATGCTTGGTAAATCATCTGGCGCAATCCTCTTTATCCTTACTAATATCTATAATCCTCTTTTAAGTGTGGTTATAATTTTTAATATTAAAAAAAATAATGTGAATTATTTATTTTTTAGTTAGACAAGAAACACTTGTACCCTTAATCAAAATTTCGATTTTTTGCTTTGGTAATAGAGTATCACTAAGCTACACGGGCGTGAATTAGGTATGTTACGATTTTAATCGTGCTTATAATATTATATTCTTGCATATGTGTTGAAAGAATTAGAATCGGTTTGTACTTGATCTCTCATTCACACCTAATTTCTTTTAACGCTTCTTCGGATTCTTATTATTATCTATGGTGCCAACATTTTTGGTAATGCCATTAAAGACCTTGTTGAATCAAAATATGATCTTGAGCGTGATCATAAATGGGGCATGAGCGAAGGTTCGTGTCTTGTTCTTGCCTCTTTATCAAAAGGTATATTTGCTAGATCAATAATTTGAAACTATAGACAAAAATTGCAACCTAGATGGCGAAAACAAGTGTGATGACCTTGTAGACATGTGTGTCGTGAGCAGGTGCGAGAGACACTATCAGACTACCACACTGGCGAGCGACGAGTGCACAGTTCCACATCGCTTGGGTAGAGGAAAGGTGAAGTACTTATATGTAAGTGTGTCACCTCCAATTGGTATGAGGCTTTTTGGGGTGAAGTCCAATAATAAAACCATACGAGCTCAGGCCCAAAGCGGACAATATCATACCATGTGCTGGAGTGGGTCGCTACAAATGGTATCAGAACCTGATCCAGCCGGAAGTGTGCCGACGAGAATGTCGGGCCTCCAAGGGGGGTGGATTGTGATGATTTTGTGGACGGGTGCGAGAGATACTATCAGGCTACCACGGTGCACAGTTCCACATCGTCTGGGTAGAGGAAAAGTGAAGTGCACAGTTCCACATCGTTGGGTAAACCAATGGGAGTGTGTCACCTCCCATTGGTTTGGGGTGAAACCCAAGAGCAAAACGGTGCGAGCTCAGGTCCAAAACGAACAATATCATAACATTTGGTGGATTTTTTTTTTTTTTTTTTTTTTTTTTTTTTTTGAGAGATAAAGAGATAAATTAAAAAAAAGAAAAAAAGAAAAAGTAAATAGAAAAACATTGTTCAAGAATTAAATTTTATTAAAAAATAATTTCAATTTTTATATAAAAAAAAAAAAAAAAAAAATTAATTTCACTTCATGAAAGATGCATCCTCATTACGTTTTTTAATTACCTTGGAAAGAAAAAATGAACTAAATAAAATTTCACAAAACGAAGGAAACAAATTTATTAAGATCATAATTATTTTCTCAAATACATCTTTCTAATTAGATGTCGGTTTCAATACGTGACCCAATTAATTATACTACTGTATCATGGTTTATTTGTTCACGCATATATAGAAGGAGTTATTTTTAAATTAATTTTGAAAACTTATTATTGAAAGATAGTACTTTTTTTCTTATTTTTTTTTATTTTTTTATTTTTTTGGCAATGTGACAACTAATTTGGAACATTGCAAAAAAAACAAATATGGAGTAGAAATTGTTGCATTATGACCTTTTTATATGGTATGCTTGCATGATAAATGATTCTCTTTGGGCCCGTTTACTAACGCCTTCACTTTCTTATTTTTACTCTCTTCAAAAGTAAAATCATACTTTTACTTTCTTGAACTGAAATAGAAAGTGAAATCATGTTTAATAATATCTCAAAATCATTAAAATTTTAAAAGTAAAATAACAAAATAAAGTTTAATAATTATAATTTTGCTTTTGTTTTTAAATCACCTGCATACCCAGTTCCATCATCTATACAATCCCATCATCCCCAGTTCCATCATCTATACAATCCCACCATCATCTATACAATCCCACCATCCCCATTTCCATCATCTATACAATCCCACCATCCCCGATTCATATTCAGGCTCGCATCCACCACCACCTCCCATCATAGGTTTCAAACATCAACAATCTCACCACAAACCTATTTCGATAAACAAAAAAAAAAAAAAAAAAAAAGATTATGTTACATGTACATAAAGATTTAAGCCTTTCTGTGTTACAGAACCAGCAGAGATGAAACCACTTCATCTTCTCCCTTCACGTGAACCAACAGAGATGAAACCATTTCCTCTTCTCCCTTCACGATTCCTTGATCCGACCTGGTCTGCCAATAATGTTCGAAAAGCACCATATATGTTGTACATCACAAAATTGGAAGGTTGATTGATATATATAGAAGATAAAAAATAAACCATAGAGAGATACAGAGAGTTAGGGTACCAATCAACAATCAAACCAGAAATCTCAACCCATTATCTTCAAACCCATAACTTTCATCGAACCCCTTCGCCGCAACAACCAGAAATCTCAACCCATTGTCGACGTCGGAATCTTTCGTCGTCGTATTCGTTGTTGTGTGCCTAACTCTTTGATTTTGTGATAAGGATTTTAGGGTAAGAAAACAGAGGGAGGAAGAGAGGGGATTTTGTCCTGAGGATGAGAGAGATAAAAAAATCAAACCTGAGGAAAAGATAACTTACCTAAGTCCCATCATCGCCGATATGGTGGTCGCCAGCGATGCCGATCGGCGAGGCAAATCATCTTTGTTGGGGCTGCCCATGTGCTAGCCATCATCGTGGGAGATGGGAGAGAACAGTGGGTATTGTTATAAATGACTGAACACACAACATTGTTTAAGTTCTGCTACAGTAACGAAAGTAATTCCTCCGCTACAGTGGAGAAAACAACAAAGTGACGAATCTGTGATTTCTTTTTCTTTCATAAAATGTGAAAATACTGAAATAGGAAAAGCAAAAATAGATTAATAAACATAATTTTCACTTTTACTTTATATTTTTAAGAATTGATAGAAGAAAACAGAAAGTAAAAGTGTTAGTAAACACGCCCTTTGCAAATTGCTTTCTCATTGGCACGCACATATTCATATAATCTTGTTTGCAAATTCTAAACACCTTATTCGAAAGGCTGAGGAGGGGCAGCACTATCATTCCAATGATTCTGTCATCACAAATAACAAACCTCCATGTGAGGCCCTTACCAAAATCTACGCAGAGATATGTTTGATCTTACTTGAAAACAATTAAAACAATTAAAACGAGTTCTTTGTTTATTTCATTTTTAAGCCTTAAATTGTAAATCATAATTCAATTTGATGTTTAAATGGAAATCATATGTCAAGGTTTCGAACATAATTATAATTTTTTTTTTTGATTTATTATTATTATTAATTTTTTTTATAAGTAACCAAAATTATTAAAAAAAAAAATTAATTCCGTGATTTCTTGGTCATGACCGAATAAAGCTAAAGTTCTATTAAAGAACATTTCAACGGGTAGAATTTTTTCAGATAATATAAGGTTTTCATGAGACTAATCGCTATCACCAATGTAAAATGATAAATATTTGGTTCTGAATTCTTTTATGGGCAGCTTGCAGTTCAGTCTACATACCAGGTTTAGCAAAACAAATTTGTTTAAATCGTTGTAAATGTCAGATAAATAAATTCTCGGAAGTTGAAATGGAAATTCACCCAGTACATGATAAGGAAAAACGAAAAATAAATTTGCTCACTAGATAAGGGACATTGCATGTGTTTATTAATATTTTCTCTCATTAAGCTTAGACATATATGTTTGTTAAAACTCACACAAATAAATACACAGAACACAATAGTGAAGTTTGGACACAATATTTCACTATGCGAATGCGGAAGCCCCCAATAGTTTTAAATGTTTTCTTAATTCACTTTCTCATTTTACCATCATAAACTCTAAAACACAATATACTTGGCTATCGTGTTTACAACCCGAGCTTATCACAGGAAAATAATAATAATAAAATGAAAGAAAAAAAAGAATAGTCAAATTTATTTTATTTTTTTGAAATTCACGACTAAGTCAACAGAAGCCCAACGTTGAAGAAACTTTACTGAGGAATTTGTTTAAGATTCACCTATATATATATTGTTCCATTGTTGAAGCCATGGTGGAATATTTATTTATTTATTTATTTTTAAATGTAAAACAATTGTATAAATATGGAAGAAATTGTACAAGGCCCAAGAGAAGCCTACGCAAATGATTCCAAACCAGGCCCTACAGGCCAAAAAAGACCAACCCAACTTATGGCCAACCCGAGCCAAGGCCGTACCCAACATAGCTTCTGGTAACAAAGCTATTAAACAATCCGGTGACCTAACAAAAGCAATCGCTGCGTCACTGCATCGTTGCACCGCCTGCATCAAAGAGTGGCGTCAGGTGGTTGTGGCGGTGGACGTTGCCGAGGGCGAGATTCCCATTCAGCGGTAAGATCAGTGGACACTACATTCACCGGTAGTGTAGAGAGTTTTTCGAAAACAGAGGTACGGATTATCCTCATCGTTGTGTTTTGTGAGGATGGAGGTTGCCTCCCAATTAGAGCTTTGAGTATAAAATCTACACATGTTCTGGATTGCACTCCAAATGGGGGAGACATATTGGATTCTTTCTTTTTCCGTTTTTAATTTGCATTCTTGTTTTTCTTAATCATTATTTGTGCTTTAATAATGATTTACAATTAATGTTTGGCTTGAAATCACTACACACGCAGGCTATCTCGTGGAAAAAAATCATGTTGCTTGTAGGTATTACAAAAAGGAATTGGACCCATATTGTCCTGGTAAGTTGGTTATTTATTTTTATAATTCAAATTGAAATATTTATTTTAGATCTTTGTTGATACAGAAGAATTGAGTCTTGTGTCTTAATTCCTTATTATTGTCTAATTCAAATTGAAATACTTGTTTCCTTTTATAAATTGTGTTCTTGTTTCCTTTCAGGAATAGTTCCTCTCCAAGTACTGTTGGGTAACCCTTGGTACATGCATGTATATATATAACCTAAAGCTCAAAAACCCTTCCTGGTATTTTAAACCAAAACTCTTCCTGCATGAATCCTTCTGCCGCTGAGAAGAGCGAAGCCATGATACAACAAAGCAAGCGAGGAATTGAAGGTGACACGCCATATGAAATCAGACACATTATACTCTTGCGACTACCCGTTAAGTCTTTGTTGCGATTTAGGTGCGTCGGTAAATCATTGCTTGCTGTAATTTCCAATCCCCAATTTGAGAGATCATATCTCAATGAATAAAGTTTGACCGACAAAGTATCCTTCGCTTCGGCTACAACCGAAGGAAGACCAACGATTTGGACTCCATAGCCTTTGACTGCAGTGATGATTCAGAGCAAAAACTATGCTTTCCATGTAAGGAGTCTTATGTACTGAAGTGTTCTTGGAATGGTATAGTAGTGTTGAGTCTTAGAAAGGAACCCATATGTGTACTGTGGAATCCATCTACTAAAGCATACAAGAAGTTCTCCCTTCCTGATCAAATATATAAAGATTATGCACTACGTGGATTGGGCCTGGTTGGAACCTCTGATCCACCAACTTTTATGTATGGTGATTCCTATGGAGACGATCTCCTCTACGATGCAAGCCCGAGCCGTACAAACCAATATGAGTGTGTGATTGTTTACTTTGATACGGTGGATCACAAGTTCAGGGAGATGCCACCACCAAATTGTATAAATGAGGGAGATATGTTTGATTTGACGGTTTTGAAAGGATGCCTTAGTTTATATTTTAGTACCATTGATAGGAACTATTTTGAGGTTTGGACTATGGAGCAATATGGTGAGCGTAATTCTTGGACCAAGTTAATTGTCATCCCACGTTAGATACATAAAAGACATATAAATTATTTGAAACTATTGTGTGTTATGAAGAAAGGTAATATTGTAATGATACTTGATAGGATAAAGATAACTTGTGCATTCGTCTTGCACGAACAGAAGTTTGGGAGCCAATAACAGTTTCATATGTGAATAGTTTCGTTTTTCCGATTTCAACACCTCAAGTAAAAAGAAAGAGGAGAAAAAAACAATTGTAAGGAGGTAAATCAATTTCTAAGCTAATTCAATTCATGTCCTTTGATTGTTATGTTTGATATTAGATATTGAAAGAAATATAAATCTTAGAAGATATAATTTACCAAAATAAGTCATGAAATCGTTATCTAGCATTTTCTTTTCTTGTTGGACTTGCATAAGCTCAGTTTCCGAGGCTCTCTAATTAATTATTTTTCTCATAATCTTCTTTGCAGAAAGAAATCCCACTGAATCAGGTATGCTCTCTATCTGTTTAGTGCTTGCTTCATTTTATACAATATTTTCAAAGGGCATGGTTATTTATTTTTATAATTCAAATTGACATATTTTATTTAGATCATTGTTGATACACAGAAGAATTGAGTCTGGTGTCTAATCCCTTATTATTGTGTTCTTACTCTCTTTTTCAAATACGAACAAAGCTGGAGCAATCCTATTTTGATACACCTCCCTTAAAGAAAGACTGTTTTAAAGATTGTTTATACGTGTCTTAACGTATATATTCATCTATATAAGTAAAAAGGTAAGCACAAAGAGATATATATATATATATATATATATATATATATATATATTGTGTAATTGACAGTCGCAATAAACATTATGATTTTGACTGGGCTTCAGTGACATTTATTATATTGCTTGATATATACTTAAATCTGATAATGTGTTTTTATTGTTATTTCCAATCATTAAAATACCAAATTTATTCTTCTTCACTCATGCTTTTGTTAATTTCTTTAATGGTATTTCAAATGAAATTTCTCCTTATTAAGTTCTTGTGGCCAATTTTTGGTTTTCTTTGTTGTGGATGCAGTGAAACGAATTTTCAACATGGGGAATCCCAAGACGTAGTGCCTAGTTGTTTATCCCATCTTGTTACTACCTGACAAGATTTAGCTTTGAACTGCTATTTATTAGGCTTCTCATTCTATTTTAAAAAACATCTCAAACATTCCCAACTTTAATTCAGATCGTTTAATTGCTCTGATCATTGATTCAATGGTTTGCTTTTGTGGTACTTAGTTGCTGTTAATATCAAGCACAGTGATAGACCGGCCCATTTGGGGCTCATGGTTTGGTCTTAGACCAAGCACTTCTTTGTTTTTGGGCCAAAGGCCACGCTATCCAGCCCACCCACGCTGGGATCTTTGTAATTTTGTTACATATTTATAGAAAATATTAAAAAGCTGCGAATGCATGCATAATATAATAAATATATGTACGTATAATGTATATATGTAATTATGTATATAGGCACTTCACCATTCATTAAACAGAAGTGAAATTGTGAATGTAGAAAACTCAGCTTCGAAGCCACCCACCCACCCAATAGGCAAATGACACACTAAGGACAAAAGAATGTGTTCAAAACACAAGATAGGGTCACTTGGAGAACTGAATTGAGGACTGTTACCCAAAACCAATTCTTAATTCAAAACAATTTTGGTTCCCAAAATCCATAATTATCATACAGCAATACAAACGCATAGCAGATAATAATAATAGAAGTAAAAAATACAAGCAAATTGAGTTTGGCGACCAACCTCTAAACTAATACAGATGAGAAACAATTGAGATAAGGTTTTAGTTTTAAGAGTTCGGGATATATATACTAGTAAAGGAGTAAAATCCAATTTAAAATTGGTATTATTAATTAAATAATTATTTTATAAAATAATCACACTAGTATATTAATTAAGATAAACAAATTACAAGATTAAATAATGATGTCAATTTACAAAATCTTAAAAAAATAATAATAATAATAATAAGTTATTTGTGTTAAAATTTTATTAAAACTCTTTAAAAAATTCTTTTTATATCAATTAATAAATAAAAATTAAAATATGAAATAGTGACTCTTGAGTCTTTACACTTTTTAATAATATATATATATATATATATATATACTCACGGCAGGAAAGGAAAAGAAGTCTAGGAGTTTGAGTACTACTCAGAGAATACAATTCTTAAACAGATATAATTGAATAATTATATTGAGCTCCCTTGTGAAAAGACATAATTATCGTAAGATATGTAAATTTGTTGATTTTGTTTTTTGGCTTATGTGCCGTATGTAATTGGCCGATCAATTGAGTGTTCAAACTCCCAACCCTTGAATCAATCGAGAAACCATCTGCAACATTGCATCGTCCTCCTTGATCGAAGACCCACCCTTTTCAATCCTGAGTTTACCCAGCCATATCTCTATTCCAATGTTGGACTTAGTTTGTTTTTCATAGCAATAAAAAATTAAGTAAGTTGCAGTAATCTCTCATTCACGTTTGTTTTTCATAGCAATAAAAAATTTCAATGCTTCATTCATTGTCATGGGCCATTGGTTTATTCTGTTTCTTTTGCTACACCAAAAGCTAATTGCACCAGAGTATTAGTGGTTTGTTTGAGTGTTAAATATTTTTTAAAAATTATATTTTATATTTTTTGGTGTTTGATTTTCGTAAAATATTTTTTTTAAAAAAAATTAAAATCTAATAAAAATAATTTACTCATCAATTTTCGACAAGTTATTTTACGTGTCTCTCCTGATGGACTCGACCTTTGCCAAACCAAAAAATAAAAATAAATATTTTACCTAAAACAAAAAATATATATTTTTCTAAAAAATGAAACAAACAAAGCATAAGTGTAAAATATTTTCTGAATAATTAAGTATTGTAGTCGAATTAAGAGGAGTGGAGGACATCGTACCAAGGTCCAAGGTCCAATTCGATCACAACTTGTAGAAGGTCTTTTGACATGCAACTGGAATGAGATGGTTGCAGCTATTAAATAAGTTTTATATGTATATATATGAGATAATTTTAGAACTTTGAAAAAGAGTTTTATACTACTATTTATTTGTGGGGAGCCCCTGTGATTGTGTGCCTTTGTCCCTGAAGAAAATTTTAGAACTTCGAAAGAGAATTTAATTAAATATATAATTTTTCTTTTCTTTTTTTCTCTATTTTAAGAACTTTTTTGTTATTATGATTTTTTAAAAATTGACTACTAAATATTTTTTACAAAATTGAACTTAAATTTTTTTTTTTTCTTAATTAATACTCACACACATATCGATTTGCACGCCGTGTACCTTAATTGACATTCTCTTCTCTCTTTATAGATGTCTATGGTACATATGTATGATTCTTGCAGGGCCATCAATTTAAAATGTTAATCATGTTTGAAGAGAAAAGAAATTGAACAAATTTTTTGAAAAGTACGTAATATCTAAGTCAAACAATTTAGGAAAGAGATTTATTCATCTGAGTTTCAATTAATGATGAAGAAAAAGAATATTTGATTCAATGCTCCACTTTAATTAATGACAGAAAATACAATTGATCAAACTCCTTCGAGTCTGGCTCGTAGTGTTAAAAGAATGGCTTTGGTATCAAATGATTGAACAATCCGGAACAATTTCTTTATGATACTTTTTATAAAGTTTCAAATGAATTATGAGAAATGAAATTATATTTATATTTACCACTATATATTTACAGAACATAAAGAATTTATCATTATAACCTTTTACAATTAAAAGAGAAATTTACTATATAAAAAGAAAGAAAAAAATTTGCACATATATTTATTAGAAAGCTGTCATACATGACTAATTATTATATCTATATTACCTAGTTGTAACAAAAATGACACAATATGACCCGTATTGATCTTACTACAAGTAATATAATAGTGTATCATGGTATTGATCTTACTACAAGTTATATATGTGTGCATAAGGCATGGTTTGTCGTATTAGCCGATTAGCGACGTATAGTTTGGTTCCGATTAGCGACGTATAGTTTGGTTCGTAATCATTTTTCAAAGATCCAATACCGTTGTGTACCTTTATGAACCTATCAGTTCGGTCGATTTACACCACAAGCTCGAGCCATACCGCAACTGATTTTAAACCCTCATTTTCCCTCCATTTACCTTAAGTGTGTGACAAGTACAAGATAAGGTCCTATTTTCTTCCTTTTTCTGTTACACACTAGCCCGAACAAATAGCGAAATTAAAGTGATAAAATGTGAGCAAATGACATAATTAACTCTCAAAAGAATGTTTAAACTAAATTGGTGAGAAGTATAGAGACAAATAAATAACAAAAATTGATGTAATTCAAAATTACATTGTAAGCCAACATGTACAATATCAGATTACATTGCTGGTATAATGAAGAAGATAACAATCTGCAGAAAATATATTCAGCCAACAATTCTTCTCTCCCCTAGTGAACTTTATAATATACTAGAATAAAGGTGAAGAATAGGAGCTGAAATAAATGTAGTGTCTAGAATATATAGACAAACACAAACTTACTGTCATACTGATGAAATAGAGCCCATCTAAATTCCCCCCCATATATATATATATATATAGTGTAAATGTCAGGATTGAAGGCAATTTCTGTTGGATTAATTTATAGTAGCTATAAAGTAGCATATATGGAGGATAGAAATAGTTGCTATAAGCTGAAGAAGAAGTTTGTTTTAGTTTGATCCTTGTCTTCTTCAGTCAGTTTCTATGGGAGAAGTGCTAGTGGAGACAGATTGTGAAGCCATAACATATGTATAATGTATGTCACTATGTATATAGACACTTCACGATTCATTGTATTCAACCTTTTCAAATAAGGTTAAACAGAATTGAAATTGCGTATGTACAAAACTGAGCTTCGAACCCACACAGTAGGCAAATGACAACTAAGGACAGTGCTATATGCACCTACCCGATTGATTCAAGGGCAAAGATGGCCTCGGATGGCGATTTCGTCTAGCAAAGTTGGCCAATAAAGCATCATCTATATCCTTTAGGGTTAAACCATCATCATCAGTCCAGTTCTCATCCATCACTCCTGAAGATGGATATACGCGTAGCACGGTCATGTCATCATCACTCCAGACTTCTACCTCATCCGCCTCATACATGAAGGTAGGAACATGAGAAGCAAGTTTCAATATTTCATCATCAAGCCGGAAACCTTTGCAGTCTCTAACATCAAAATGCAAAAGCTTTTTGCAGCCCTTCAAAATCGTCATTATTTCCTCCTGATCAAGATATGTGTGCCTTAGATCCAAATACTTTATGTTTGGCAGTAAGGTGACTATAAGCAATGATTCATCTTCCTCAACGTCCCCATTTGAAATACCTAAGCCAACAACATTCTTGCAATGAAGGCTGACTTGGGTAAGGATTGCTTCTAGATAAATGGCGTTTCCAAGCCATAACATCTGTAAATTTTTCCACTTGCTTATATATCTTGAAAAGAAGGGCGTTTCGTCAAACGCTTGAACAGGAAATGTCAAAAATTTCAATGCAGGGCACCTGCCAACAAAGAATCATTGTGAAATAAATTCAAATATATATATATATATATTTCAGAACTACGAGTTATCATAATTTTCTTTTAAACTCTGTTAAAAGTACAAGGTAACAAAGGAAGAGATTTTCAATTGGTAACATGAGGTCATCTATCCCCTACCTCCACTCATGCCAGGGATAATTATTTTAAATACAAACATTCAGTAGATGTTCCATTTAAGCCCTTTTCTCTCAATAGTTCTACACTTGATGCAAAGAACACCAAAATCAAGGAGAGAGCGAAAAATCAATTTAAGTGTGAGACTTCCAGTCTTAATGAGAAAGTCGGGAAACAGACTCCATTTCTTCATGGAATTAGGTAAGGACAAGGGAACTAATATTCTCCGAGTTTAGAAAATTCCTTTATATCTTCCCTCAAGGTTAACTGAGATTAGAAAGTAAAAATTTGTTAAAAGACATTTAAAATTATAAATTTCACCCCTGTTTTCCCACATCCTCTTTTCCTACCTTTCCACAATAACCAAACATCAAAAGGATGAATTTCCTTCACGTCTTTCCTTTTCCCCATGGAGTAGTTGAGTTGGCATAAAACATTTGGGAATGACCCAAAGGTCTTGTTCAACTCTTAGGCATCAAGACTCAAACCTAGCCCCCTATACCCATGGCAAAGGGATTCATACTGCCCTCAATGGGAGGAAAAACACCTTCTCCCTCCCCACTCCCCCCCACACACACACACACAAAAGGATGATAAATGCAATTTTAGAGCACAAAACAAGTAGAAGCGGCTATCTTCTGACTAAAAGTGCTTTAGATAACTTACCCTTCTACAAGACAAACAAATGCCTCATGCGTTACATATGTCTGATCCGTAAAATAGACCGGAAAAACTAGTGAAACAGCAGATCCACCACTACGATTGACAACAAACTTAATCAATTCATTTGCATTAAACCTCTGTGATCGATATCCATCCACTAATCTTGATTTGAATGAGTCTGAGATTTCAGGAAAATCAAGGTGCTGCCAGCATAGAGGATTTCGAGTTGCATTGTATCATGACTTGCATACGAAGGGAACATCACATAGCAGGGACTCCATTCCCACTCTCCCAAGCACATTCACCAAGCAATCCATGTTTAGCTCTTCCCATTTTCGATCTTCCATCTATATGAACGGAAAGTAAAGGCAACTGTGAAATTTATGGCTATAATAAAAGGAAAAAGAAAACACACTAGTGAAATGCAAATCCTTTTCACATTGATTAATGATTGCAATTACTAATGATATTATGGCCGTTCATGCTGGGGAAAAATGGTGCAGAATTTAAACTTTCCAATCTAAATCTTGAATGGGGAATCTATACACAACCTTTAGGAGCTATTTCCATTAGTTTTTGTAAGAAAGCATAAGCAAGGCTACAACATTTTAGAACAATTAGTATTGTGCTATCACTCCTTAATTTAATTCGCAGTCATCCTTGTTCAATTTTGTCAAAATATAGGAGAATTTGTTAAGATGATTTTAGTTGTGCCAAACCGATGCCAAAGTATGGTATTGTGTGTTCACAATATTAGCCATGAATTTGTAATGACATCTATCACACTTGTATAATGAAATATTTACATTTAATTAAGAAAACTATCAAAAATCATGTTAAAAAGAATAAAGATTTCAGAATCAACAACAAAGAGCTAGTTATTTACTCGAGATAAAAATAAATAAATAAAAAATTCAACAAAAACAACAACAAAGAGCCCGTCTTTACCAGAAAAGAAAGAGCCAGAATAACTACAGAACCTATGTCCAATTACACAATTCATTTATATATATATGTGTGTGTACATGTTACCAATTGAAATTATGATTTAAGTTTCAAAGACAAATATAAATCAAAATAATAGAAGACTACACAAAAGTAAAACCAATATCGAATGTGTTGAAAACAAAGATTGGGACACTTGAGAACATAATTGAGAATTGTTACCCAAAACCCAGTTGGTAACCCAAACAAATTTTTACTTCAAAACTAGTTTGGTTCCCAAGATCCATATATAACACAAACGCATAGAAGATAAATATAGAATGAACAATTTGAATAGGAATACAAAAACAGTTGAATTTGTCGACCAACCTCCGAATGGATGCAGATGAGGACCTTTAAACTGTGATCAAAGTGTTGAAAAAAAGGAAAGTTCACCAGATTGAAGAGACCTAGCAGAAACAATTGTGTTTTAGGGTTTAGAGTTTGGGATATATATATACACACGTGTGGCAGGAAAGTAAAGGCAGTTTACGAAGTTGAGAATAACTTGGAGAAACAAATTCCTAGGTAGGGAGAAGTAAAAATATTTGGAATTAAAAAAGATATTGAATTGTAATTAAAATAAAATTCTATTTGCGATTTGAAGTGAATTGAAATTTAAAAAGGAAAAAAAAAAAAAAAAATCTTACCATTTTAGGATGAGAAAAATGACTGTTGGGAGACTTTAAAGCTGTTACTCAATAGATAAATTTGGTAGATAAATTTTTAGGGACGTCTTATAATATTCCTTTAAAAATCCCTCAAATCCTAATCCTTTTTAAAATCAGGCAAATTGAGTAAAATTTTCCCTTATAAAAGAGAAAAAAAATCCTCTATAATTACTTTCTCACTAGATGATATTCAATGAGTATTTAAAGGTGGTAATTAACGTCATCTTTTAATATTGTCTTATCATCACAAAGTTAGTGCTAAAATTTTTTTTATTTTATTTTACCATATGTATGAATATTCTAAGTCACATAAAGCGGGAGCGAGAGCGAATTCCAAAGTATGAGAGTTACAAAATTAAGTCATAAACAGTCAAAATTAAGTCATAAGCAGTGAAAATTTGAGCGAGAGCGCTCGGAGAGTGAGATCGACATTTGTTGAGAAGGATTGTGTGATTAGTGAAAGCCACTCTGTAAGTTATTTTTATACATACTATACCGAATATATTATTATACAATTTAATTTCACCTTTTGATTGAAATAAAATCCCCCCCACCCCCGGACCCAAGGAAATCAAGACAATTGAAGTAAAATTAGAAAATATATAATATATGTATACTATTATTTTAGGGTTCTCCTGGGTTTTTATTATTTTTTAGGTTTTCGTTCTTTCTTTCTTTTAAGGATGTTTAAATTTTAACCAACTAGGATCCATGAAGTGAAAATCAATTCATTAAATAATATATATTTTGTATACTGAAGTTGCATGTATATATTAAAATTTTGGTAAATATGAATTTTACTCAACGGTCACGGTAAGCTTTTTTACCCCTCACTGGATCAATCCAGTAAGAGAGAGTAACTGAAGGCGATTTTTTCCCTTATCAAAGGTAATTTTTGTAAAAATTTTGGTCTGTCAAGGTAAGTTAAAAATAAATGGATCAAAATACCTATTTTGCAAAAGGCTTAAATCATAAAACTCCGATACTATTTATTTTTATTATAGAATTTTTAACTTGTTTGTAAAAATCCTAACAGCATTACAAAGTTATTATTTTGCTCAAATTTTGTCAACGAACCATTAAGAACTTGTTAAATGACTAAATTACATTTATGATATACCACTTTATTTAAAAAAACAAAAAATCATATTTTACAAATTACAACATTATCCTCTTACATAAAATAAATAAAAATAAAAATTAATAGCACATGATTAACACATGTTCTTAGGTTGTAATTTTATCACTAAAATCATGTGAAAATTATGCACTAGGTAAACGTCCGAAACTAATATGATTAGAGCAAAGTTATATATTTTGTTTGTAATTGGAGGTCTGATAACCTAGTGAGATGTAAGTTTTGTTTGATTTACCCTCTCGAGATTTGATTACATAGTGAGATGCGTGGTTTGTGAGCTACTCTCTTGAGGTTTGATGGTATGGTAAGATGCCAAGGTTTTGTTTGTAACTTTTTTATATTTTTGTTTGTAACCGGAGGGATGCTCTCTCGAGGTTTGGTGAGATTACTGGATTTTGCTTTTGACTCGATGGCTGGCTTCTTAAGATTTGATAACCTAATAAGACGTCAAGATTTTACTTGTATTTGGGGTGAAAATTACCTCTAGTGAAATAGTGTGTCATTTATTTCATTTTAAAATGAATGGTCTAGAAATGATCTCGTCACCTATGTTTGGTATGCATAGTAAAAAAATATTGAAATGCACAATAAAAAAAATATTAAAATATATTTTTACTTACAAAAATAAAAGAAATGAACTACTGTGTAACTGGGGTAATCCTCGTCCCATGTATTTGCGAGCTACTCTCTCGAGGTTTAATGAATATTTGACTTTTTGATTTTTCAACCTGGCACATAAGTCAATAGTCCAAATTTATATTAGTAAGTGATATAATAGGTAAATGAACGATGACGCCTCCAGTCGTTACGTCGTCGCTTTCTAGTCAAATTCAATTTGGAGTCCGGAGGGGCTTGTACTTAAAGAGGTTGTGTCAATCTATTGATTTTACATTCACTGTAAATTCTTTGATTGATCTACTTCCCACACTCTTCTTCTTTTTCTTTTTTTTTTTTTTTTTCAAAATTACTCTATGCATCACTCACATTGTATTGTGATAAAAATTTATGGAATACATGTCTATCTATATCTTTATCTATATCTATACATATATACTATTTTAAAAACGTAAAAAATTTCTTAACACTTTCGATTTTTTTTTTTTAATATCAAAATTACTCTATGCATGGCTCACATTTATTGTGATATAAACTCATTGAATACATATTCATCTATATTTATATCTATATCTATATATACTATTTTAAAAGTGTAAGAAATTTCTTAAGACTTTTGATTTTTTTTTTTTTCACATTAAAAAAAGTGTATAATAATTCATACAGCACATAGACATTAATTTCAAAAAAAAAAAATTAGCACATTCCACATATAAATATATACATCATACATGTATTACGTATATTTAATTAGTGAAAAAAAATTTCTATTCCTTAAATAGAAAATTAATAATGTGTTTAAACTTTTATTTATGTCTTTTAAATAGCAATTTATTTTAGTTAATCATTATTTTATTATTTTAGGAATTTTTGTTAAAATACATATTCCATGCATAGCATATATAGTAAGATTATAACATGGAGTGATAGAAAAAAAAAATTGATTAAAAAAAAAAATTTATATATATATGTATATAAAGAAAGCAAGTAAATTTGGTAAACAATACTGTCTATAATTATTGAAATTCATTTATCTCCCATACCCACTCCTCTTGGAAGACTAAAAATGTGTTTAAACTTTTATTTATTTTAATAGTAATTTATTTTAGTTAATCAATATTTTATTATTTAAGGAATTAGTTTTTTTAAAATGCATATTCACGACATATATCTATATCTATATCTATATCTATACTATTCTAAAAATGTAAGGAATTTCTTAACATTTTTAGATTTTTTAAAAATACAAAATAATTTTCATTAAATACTTTACATTATAATATATACTTCTAAATATGATTAATGAGTGTATATATATTTTTTACTATTTCTATACCTTTTCAACAATTTTGAAATAAAGTATTTATTTAATGGTTAAAACAAAGAGTTAATAGAAGTACCTTTTATAACTAAATACGCACTGGAATCAATATTCAGAAAAAAAAGGGCCAAAAAAAAAAAAAAACATTTTTCATCCCACTCTTTAAAAAGCAACCCATTTCAATTCCCCAAAAATTCCATGCCCTAATCCACAAATTCCAAAAAAATAAAAAATAAAAAATAAAAGTCCCATTTTTTTGGAAGAGTTTTTTTTTTTTTTGGATGATTATTCAGTAAATACAAAAATTAATTATTTTTAATAATTTCCAAATACAATTATTATTTTGTTGGCCATGAACAATTCACTTTATTCCTTCTTGAGGTCTTTTCTTATTTAATTAATAATCTCTTATAACTATATTTAAAATTCTTTTTATCTATTTATTTACACTATTCATAGAAGTGTAAGATTTTTTATTCCTTTTTGTTGGCACCAAAACTTGGCAGCCATCTCAGCGATGACGTGGACCAATGAAAAGCTGATAAGTATTTTTAACATGGCGTCAAGGGAATCAACCAGTTAAGAAATATCAGGAGCAAGTATTGGAGAAAGTTACTCAGCCACTTCATTAACAAGGCAGTTGCTAAAATATAGCAACAAACATTTGACTTTATTCAAGTTGGGTTATCAACAAGAAAGGAAAGACTAAAGTTTTAAGGAAATCAATTCTAGTTGGATGGAACAAGGAAAAATACAAAAGGCAGCCGCGGCATGAATATAAAAGCGATAAATGGCTTTTAGGCAATTTAAGGGAAGAAACGGTGACCAAGTATAAGGAAAGAAGTTGCTAAAAATTAGCAACTTTCCAGCAACAATTCGACAACTTGCATTTGACTAAATCAAGGAGAGTTTTCAACAAGGAGTTTCTATTGAAGTAAGACGAAGCAAGGCAAGAAAGGAAGTGGAAGAACACTGGGTTTTGCCCTAGAAGAAAGAGAAAATCAAGGAATAAGAGATTTTCTAGCAAAAAATTAGGAAAATAAGTTGAAAAAAGAATTCTATAAATAGGAAAGTTGTAATCCTATTCTAGTCCGTCCAGCACCACCACAAAACATGCATTTCAACTAAAAATGTTTTCAATTGACTCTACGTCATTTTCCTATCAATTTCTTTATTTCAATTTAATGGCAATTGATTAGATCCTCGTCAACTATTTCGATTCAGCCATTTACTTTCTTTCAATTTCAATTATGCCAATTTTAATTACGTAATTTTAGTTAGGTTTTCAATTCAATGGCAATTGATTAAATTCTTGCCATTGAATCGTAGTGACAATTGATTAAATTCTTGTCATTACTTGGCTGATGGCAATTGATTAAATTCTTGCTATCACATTTCAGTGGCGATCGATTAAATTCTTGCCATTGTGTTTGACTGATGGCGATTGATTAAGTTCTCGCCATCACGTTCGGCCGGCGATCGATTAAGTTCTTGCCGTCTGTCTTCACTCGGCCATTCCATCCATTTAAACATTCATCAGCCGTTGCATTTCTTTAGACACTCTAAAAAGTCCTTACTACAAACAAGGCATAAAAGAACCTTGCTGGGAGTTCTTACTAGTCTCTCTCCCACACAATCGCCTGAGAGTCAACCATCGGAAAAAGGGATAGGCTGGTGTTCAATTACATATTTTGGGTATTTTGTATAAATACTCTG